GGGGAAGTGATTTTCCTCTCTCTGAAAACAGACCATTCTAACTTCTGGTGATACGATGTAGAGGAAATTCCTGAATGTAGGATTTGTCATGTGTGCTACTTCACAGCTTGGCTGCAGCCTGGGGTGTATCTCGGACATTTCTGCTTACTGGGAAAGTATTGATCTCTGTTCACAAGTAAGCTCCTCTCCAGCAGCTGGGCTTCAGCAGCCTCCCATATGCCATTTAAAGCTTTGTAGGATACTCTGCAGTTCCCATAGCCCCTAAATGTCTCAGAGGATGGGTCTCGGCATTTTCCACACACCCCCATTTATCTAAATTCATTACATTTGAGATAGTTCATGCTGATTTGGCTGGCTTTAATACAATAATTTTTGGCCCCACAATTTAAACTATAAAATAAAGAAATGTAGATTATTTTAAGACATAAGATCTTAGTTACCTTACCTCATAAGACAGTAGTTAAAAGCTGCAAGATTGCGTGCAAAAAGATACAAAACTAGAGTAGGATTGCATTTAACAAGCATATTCTTGCAAGAACTAGAGGTTTCAGGCATAAGACAATGTTGTTTCTTATACACTGTAACCAAAGCTAGTCTGTGAAATGATTGGCATCAAGCCACACTATTTAGTCCCTCCTACCAATCTCTTTTATTCCCACTTTCTTTTTACCCTGCTGTTTCTGTACAAATACAGTTGGACCTTTTCTGCTTCCAATGGAAGTGAAGGATGTCTCCTTTATTTTAACATCTGATGTCTCTGTGACGTTCCTCAGTCACCAAATTCCTGTCAGACAAATGGACTTCACTTCCATTCACTGAACTCGACTGGTTCCACATTTTCGAAATTGCAGTTTTCAAATTTTTGAGCAAAGCCAGCGAACATCATAGGCTTCTGCTGAAGTCAGGTACACAAACTAATTCCTGCATCAGGCCTCGGAGGTCTGTTGGGTAGGAGGAGAAGGGGGAGCAGGTTTTTTTTGAAAATTAAATCGCCGGTGGAAATTATATAATGGACCAAAAGAGTACCAAACTCCTGCTTCTGAACAAATCCCCTGATTTTCCATGCCAGATACAGTCATGCTTTTAAGCAAACAGAACTCTGAGAACTGCAGGGTACATCAGGAATTGGGTTTATAGAGCATTTTAAGTAGTGTACATAATAGATGTTGCAATTAAAAGAAAGAGTGGATAGAAGCATGATAATTCTTGCTGTTCTACAGAATCAGCTGAATTGTTTGGAAGATGGTAATGCTCCTCAGCAAGAATATTTAGAATCTGGATAAGACATTGAAATGTTGAATTGTTTGCAAAGTTCACGTCCAACATCTGTAAAACTTAGGATCATTGATAACTGTTGATGTAAGCCAGCTTACATCAACAGTTATTACACTGTAATTTTAACAGGTTTTGCACTGTAATTCTATGATACAATGAAGAGTAGAAGACGGTCTGCATCAGTATAGGAAAAAATTTCGCCTTTTTGTTACTTTCAACATGGGAAAATAGATGTGTTATTAAAGCTAGCATGGACATGCTGCAATCAAGAGCCAGTAGCTGAGCGGGACAATCAGACCATAAACACTGGCTTTACGTTCCAGTTGCAGTCTCATACTGAAACCTGCACTTTCACATTTTCATGGTGAGTGGTACACCTACCACACACCCAAACATTTCTGTATTACTGACACTTCAATTCTGCAGGTACGATCTGAGAAGAAAAACACAAACTTCCTAATGTATGAAATAACATATGCACATACATTCTTCCTGATTTTTCAGTTTGAACATCCAACCAATGTAACCACCAATAGGAAAGCATCCATCTATTTCAGCCAGCTGCCAAGTAATGTCAATTAGGGTAGAATTCTACTAAAGTATCCTTCATATGCTCAGCATTCTAGGCAGAAATTAACTTCAGAGGGATTTTCTGTAATAAGGTTGGGAGAGCAGCGTTTTACAGGAGTAAGTATTTGGTACGTAGTACATGCTTTGACAAAGGTGTTCAATAAGAACTTTAGAACATGCATAATCCAAGACAACAGTTTTAGAATACCCACAATGTTTAAGTATTACATGTAACAACTCATCTGCTCACAAAAATCCATTCTACACTGATGTTAGGAAGTAAAACACGTAAGTGACTTTTTATATGATTATTTCAGGAAGGTTATTAATGAATTTCATATTGTCCTTTCCTTTTTTATCCTGTACGAGTAATTTATTATTTTAGTGTTGTAGCCATTCAACTGGTTTATGACGGTCATTTTGTCATTCTTTGGTTTAACATTCTGCTTTCTTTTATTCTCCAAAACCATGGAGCAACAAATTGTACCAGTGGCAGATACTAGAGAATCCGTACAACATTATGTCTCATGCATCTAACGTTCTAGCTGTACTTCTTAAAACACACCACTATGAAGTGATTCTTTATCTATGATCTGGTATGGTACACTTACTTACACTGCAGGTAAGATGTGTTGGTTCTTAATGTTAGATCCAGTCATCATGGCCCACTTCTTCTAAAAGAGTAAACATTTTTTTTTTCTGTTTTAGTTTCTCTAATAGTTTCTCTTTTATATATTTTTGATTAAAAGGATGAGAATTCTTAAATAACTTCATCTTATTTTAAAGCCTAATAAGAACTTAATCTTATTTTAAAGCCTCATGGCCATTCAAGTTATGCAAAGTGTGTTTACTGTGTAAGTAGAGTAGTGACTGTTCAGGAATAATATGGAAGGGTTAGAGAACTAAAAGGAAAGGAAAAAAAAATTAAGGACGTTTAGTGACACTGCAGTATACTTCTAAATGCTTCATTTCTGCATACAAAAACCTTATTATTAAATAAATATACAGATCCTTATTACGGTTAGCTTCCTGAAGATGTCTCCCTCGTGCAATGTGCATGTTCCTGTGACCAAGTAGGTCTCAGTGTGATAAAAAACCAAGAAATTGCAGAGTAAGTACAGCTTCTCCCATTTGATAGCTTTGGGTGCTAGATTTGGGTCCATTTGATAGATTTGGGTCAGTTCCCCAGTGCTAGTTTGTATCTTCATATTTCTACAGCCACCCTAGAGATTTCTAATCATTTGAACAAGCTGAAGCCAATACTACTGTTATTTCCCAAACAAGATAAAAATGACACATGTTTAGTCTACTGTTCATCTTTCCACACTGCTGTATATGCTACTCCCAGGGGTATTCTGAAGGACGTCCATTTGTGTCTTCTTGCTGTGCGGTTGAGTGATATCTTATGCATCCCCAGGAAAAAAAATCCAGACCAATTTGTCTGAAGACAGGAAGGACAAAATATTGAAGTAATAATATTAGTCAAGCACAATACAACCTCTGTTTTTCTGTGAAGCTATGAGCTCCCTACAGTTTTCTGAGATGGGGGCTGTAAGTGGTAACTTTGACTTTTAAAAGACATGTTTTTTCCAAAAGTTGTTCCCTGGAAGAAATTACCTTCTCTAGACCTTGTGGTTCTCCTTGTCTTTTACTGCTCTACTCCAAAGAACTATCCCCAAACTCCTCCTTAGGAGCAATGACCAAATTAAGGAATCACTTAGCCAAAACAAGGGCTGTCAGGTTGTCAGGAGGAAGGCCAAGTTATTATTCTGTATAATGATCTGAGCTATTAATTTAGGGTCTGTTCTTCTCACCTCAGTTGGAATACTTAGCTGCCAAGCATCATTATGCCAGAGACAAACTGTGGAAACAAGAATTTTATTAACACATCATTGCAACATACAGCTTAACTGTCT